ATATTTTTAAATTTTTATTCTGGACTTATGAAATTGAATTATTTTAACTTATTAAATTTGTTAAATTTATGTTATTGAAATATTTTAACAATTAAATTTAATTTTTAAACTAAATAATTTCAATTAGTAAAATTATGTAATATTTGAATAAATTTAAGTTTTAACTTTTAAATTATTATTTTTTAAAAAATTATTAGAATAAATAAAAATTATGATATAGGAATGGATACAAGATAAATATTTATTTGATGGAGTCTAGAAGTTACTATCCATAATTGTCCCGCCCTCTTGACATTCTTATGTATACTGTTGATTTTTTAACTATTGAATTAAGCTATTTTGGTAAATAATTTTCAATTATAACATTTATGTAAAATTCATTTTTGCTTACACTATATCGGTAAAAAAATATTAGATATCTTCCCCTCAATTATTTTTGCTCTCTATTTTTAATAGGACTATTTAGTCGTTTAAATGAAAACTTTCGTTAATTAATTCTATATTATATTTCTATTGTAAATGAAAATTTTCATTCAGTATTATTAATAAAAAGAATAAAATTATTCTCAAAATTATTTTTTATGAAAAATAAACAGATACAAAACGTCTCAACTCTACTACTATTAATAAAAAGAATAAAATTAAATGTATTAAAAACAATGTTCATAATATATTAAAAATTAAAACAAACTATATATACTTATCTTATTTATAAATTAATAAATACATAATTTAAACAAATTATGCATGTAAAAATAATTTAATTATCTCAATTTAAAATATTCTATGTTACCTTCAATAATATTTTGTATTTTGTTACTTATTTTGACACTAAACTAACTAAATTTAGTGATAAGAACTAAAAATAAATATTAAAAAATATAAAGATCCAAAAATGATAGTTTTTATTTATTTACAGAAATTAAAACAAGACAAAGTCATATTTAAAAAACTTAAAATATATTTAAACCTTATTTCCATTTATAAGAGTTGAATTCAATATAATAATTCACGCAATTTTTAAAGAAATAAATGATTAAATTAGTCCCTAAATTATATTACTCTCAATTCAGTCATAATTATAATGAAATTAAAAAAAGTCTCATGTAATTTGCTTCTGAATTGAGTTACTTTATTAAATAAACTCAATTTTCTTAAAAAAATGTATATGTGACATGATAATATCTAGGAGTGGGTATATGGACTCGGGTCCGCGGACCGGTCCGTAAGTCCGTGGACTTCGCGGATAACAGACCCGATTTTTTCAAATCCGTATGACTATGTTTAATTTTTGAGCCCTGCCTGTGAAGTTCGCGGGCTTGGCGGATTTTATCCGCGGGCTCGTAGGCTAGTCCGCGGACTTCACTAATTAATATTTTTAAATATTATAATTTTAATATTAAGTTATGTATTTAATTTTTAAAATTATTATAATATTAAAATTATGTTTAGTTGGTATGTATTTGTCATTTAAATTAATTTTATGACATTTTGATGCTTTTATTATTGAAAGTTTAGTATTATTATTTAAGTATTTGTAATTATTTTTATCTTAATATTTTAATATTTAGTATTTAAAATTATTTTAACTATTGATAAATTTTAGTATGATAAAATTTAGCTTATAAATAAAAAAATATTTTTTTCTTCTAATTTTTTGTATTCTTATTTTTTAAAAATTTATTTTTTTGAACCATTATTTAAGCCCGTGGACCGGTCCGTTATCCGCGAATTTTGGCGGGCCGGATACGGACTTAAAACATAAGTCCATTTATTTTACGGATCGGACTTATCCAGCCCGTATAGAACGCGAGTTTTACAAATCGGGCCTTAAACGGGCTGGACCTGTAACGTAGTAAGCTATTTCAGAAGGCCCAAAAGCCCAATATGGGTGATTTAGTAGCCCAGAACGGGTCGTTCCCAATCTGGAACGGACCGTTCCAAACTACTAAATTGACCTATAAATCGTAGTTGAGAACGGGCCTTTCTGGATGGAGTACGAGCCGTTCTAGATGGAGAAAGGGTCATTCTGGATGAGTCCCATAACAGGCTATTTTGGTTTCAGAACGGCCCGTTCTGCATGTGATTTTTACACATGATGAAGGGGTGCAGAACGGGCCGTTCGGATTCAAAATGGGCCGTTCCGGATTCGAAATGGGTCGTTCTGGCCACTCTTGAACTTCTATAAATAAGGGTTGTGTGGTTGAGGGGAAAGTGAAGTTTTTTAGAGAGAAGTTTTAGAGAGAAGGTCTCTGGACTAGAAAGTTTGCTTTGGGTGGATTGAAGTTTCGAATTGAGCTTCGGAAGGAAATTCTACTTCTTGTCAGTTCTTGGCCATTTTGAGCCAATTTTCAGGTGAGGGAAGCTAGAATGTTTGTTGTTTAGGTTGCATGTGAGTTTAGAAACTCAATTGATGCATGAAAGTTGAGGATCCATGGTTGGATCGGAGAATTCGCTCATTTTTCGGGGTTTTGGGAAAAATGGAGTTTTTGGTGATTTTGATGCATCGGATGGGTACATGTGAGATTTATGTTTATTTTTTAGTTGTATGGAGCCTATGTATTGTGTTTTGTGTTTGCATGTGGTTGGATCTGTTGGTTTGGATGAGAGTTTTGAAACTCTCTGATTGGGATTAGGTCAGGCGTGCTCAGGCTGTGCAGGGCGTGAACATGTTTATTTGTGATAGTTGAAATGATGCTTCGACATGTTTAAAGTTGAAGTTTTAGATGATGTATGTATGATATATGATGTATGTTGAGGTGTGATTCATATGTATGCTTGGTAATGATATATATGAATGTATAAATATGATGTGACATAAGTATATGTTCATATGAGTATGATTGTTGATAATGACGGTGGGTAGACCATGTATGATGTATGATGCATTATTGCATGTGATGTCTTATGACATGTGTATGATTGTTGATCATGATGGTGGGCAGACCATGTATGATGTGTGATGCATAATTGCATGTGATGCCTTATGGCATGAGTCTAGCCTAGGACTTGAGGAGAGGAAAAATATTTTCGAACTGGAAGAGCTCACATAGAGTCTCTTGAGAGTGGTGCTTGGATAGGCCACTGATATATGAGAGTGGTGCTAAGGTAGGCCATTGGATTTGGGAGAGTGGTGCTCAGGTAGGCCACTGGGTTGGGTGAGTCTCCTCTAAGTCCTTAGCTAGTGTTGGAGCGGGGTATGAGGTCGAGGGTTATTCCCTTAACCAAGTACTCGGGAAGGTGCGTGGATCCTTGCGGATAATCGGTGGCGAACTCCACAATTGACTTGGTAATGCATGCCAAGGTCGTGGTAAGCCTGTACCCAACTGTGTTATACCTGACGGTGGATCTATACTTCCAATTGTGTAAGTGACATCATCCGAGTAAACCCGAGTGAGGATTATATCCTGTTTAGCTGTGACCGAGCGGGCGCATTAGGCGTGAAAATGGTTGGGGTGGTTTCGGTAGGATGAGATGTCACTTATACTGCTCTGTTGTTAGGGAGATCTCCTAGATGTATGCGTGACGATGCATTAGATGATTGATATGCATTGATATCTGTCATGAGTTGCATGTATTGCATGATTGTTATGATGATGAAGTGTATGGTGTTTGACTTCATGTTTGATGAATGGATGATTTGATTGAGATGGAAGTTCTTTTGGGACTTGAGTTGGACGCATGTGTAGTATAGATTTTTTTTTCCTGTACTTGTATGATTGATTTTTGAACTCTAGCTTACCCTTCTGTTTCCATGTGGTGGGACTGCAATGATCATACTTGGTATGGGAGCAAGTAAGGGATAACTTGGAGTTGAGGTGACCGTTGCGAGACGGGGAGTTTGATCTTCGTGTTAGAGTTACCATTTTGGGTAACGATTTTGTTTGTGCTTGACCAGCACTAGGGAATATTATTTTTGGGATGACTGTACATATATGGTGTTCTATTTTGTATACAGAAACTGAGTTATTTTTATTCTTACCTGTACCTGTATGTATGAGTTATCCAGCTTAATATTTCTCTTAGTTTGTTAGTAGTAGTGCGATTCCACTAAGTGTAGAAACCATAGCGGGTCGTTACAAGACCGGTCCGTATACCCACCCCTAATAATATCATGTAACATATACGTGACATATATGTAAAGTGACACATGTTATAGTCACGTGGTATATATGTATTATGTGACATATGACTATGATACAATATCATTTTTATCTCTGAAACTATAATATTGTGAAAAATACATTTTACTTTCATTTTTCAAAAATTACATTTTTTTTGTCTTTGATAACCTATTTTTATTTTATTTTAATAAAACACACTCACATGCACATATATAAATACACATACCAAAATATTAACTTAATTATCTATTTTATTGTGTAAATATTCAAGTCACAATTACTTAATTAAAATAAAATCATGATAATGTTTAAAGATTAAAGTGACATTAATTTAAAAAATAAAAAATTAAAGTGACATTAAATTAAAAATTTAAGAACTAAAGTGATATTAAATTACAATTTAAAAAATTAAAATAATATTATATTATAATTATATGTCACATGCGCATCCATTAATACATATTGCGCTCTCTATATATATTACACACCATCATGTCACATGTATTTCTATTTAAGAAAATAAAATTTATCTGACAGAGGGAACCAAATAAAGAACGATTCTAAAATTAAAAATTAAATTGAACAGGATTAATGTGACCATTTAAAAAGTATGGAGTATTTTAATGAAAGTAGATCAGGTATTTGTCCAAATTTCCACTTACCTTATTCTATTGGCAATGCTTTGTTTTGGATTCTAGCAAGGATTGGCTAGTGTTGCACTGCATTTGTTTATACAAAATTATGACCAGTTGGAGAAGGAAAAAATGTTGAAAAGACTATTACTACTAGTACTACGTCGTTTTAACCTGTGTGCTTTCGCAATGCAATTCGCAAACAATACAAAACCATCAACCGCACATAATTTTCCTTCTCTCATTAATTTCTTACACTTTCATTTATTGCACATTTCACGACCTTGACTGCCACAGAGAAACAAAGACAAAAAGCCGCAGCACACAAGTTAAAAACCCTTCCAAACTCTCTTCTTCTTCGTCACCGTCAAAACGCGTTCATTTTCCCCCTCTCGAATCTCACGCCACTGGGATCCCTCAAAAATATTGTCTTTTCGCGCTTTTCTTCGTGGGTTTTCGTTTTCCTGTGTCGCCGAGCAGCGATCTTCTTCTGGGTCCGTGAAAGCTGAAAACTTTGGTGCTTTTTTTTTTTTTTTTTTTTTTTTTTTTTTTTTTCTTGAAGCGCCGGCATTGGGAAGTGTGATGGTGAAAAAGGAGGTTGAGAAGAAGGGTTGCGGGACGCGATGGCTTTGGGTGGTGGTGGCTCTCGTTGCTGTGTTTGTGGCCATGGCCATGTCTTCCAAAACTTCTCCAAGAATAGCTCTATTTGGAGCCATTGATAGAGCTTGTCAATGTGCTCGGGTAATCTATCTTCTAAGTAACTCACATTTAGAGTTTCTATTTTTTTTTTTTTTGTATTTTTTGAAATTGTGGAATTCTGAATCTTGATGTATTGTTTACTTTAATAATATTTTAATTGGTTAAGATCTTGGGCGAAGATTGTCTCTTTATATGATCTTCAAGTTTTGTTTTTCTTTTATTTTTAAACTTTATCTTGTTTGTTACAATTTATTTCACTTCTAAGACTGTGTGGCTTCCATGGGCAGTTGTAATGAAAACTCTTGCATTGTGATGAGATATGATTTTTTTTTCTTTTCTGCTATGTGACTAGAAATTTAGTTTGATGATATAATGTTTTGATCGAGGGTGGAGGCTTAAGTTTTCTTTTTGTCTGTTGCAGGGTACACCAAAGTACAGTGGCATGGTGGAGGATTGTTGTTGTGATTATGAAACTGTGGATCGTCTCAATGAGGAAGTATTACACCCTTCCCTCCAGGATCTCGTGAAGACCCCTTTCTTTAGATATTTTAAGGTTTGCTTATTGCCTTATCTTATATTATGCTTACATTTTTCTATATGAATTTGTTGGAATTCAGAAAAATTAGAAGGCTGAAACTCATGTAATTTTATTCATACTTGCAACCTTTAAATACACAAAATATAATTGAAAGCTGATACAAATTCTGCTCATAAACATAAAACTAAATAACAAATGTAAATACTCATAAAAGTGTAACAGCACATATAATTCCTATAATTAAAAATTTATAACCGTAGGAATTTTAATAATGCTCCATTAATCTGAAATAAACTCAAATAATAGATGCTGATTCAAATTCTCAACAGAATGTCTTTTGACTAAGAACTGTTGATGGTCATGGTTATCTTGAGTTTGATGAGAACCTGATAAACTATTAGATTTTGGTTAGGCCCTTGTTGTTTGTGTATTTTTGTGTTCCAATTGACTTTTGCATTGGTTCGAATCGTATCCTTAATATTACTTATAAAGACTACTAGCATCCAATTCATTTCAAAAGCATAATATAGTGTTGAGAGGCCTTTGTAGGGAAAGAATGTGTGATGGTTCCTATCTTGTTTTTGATTGACCATTTTTAAAGGTTTTGTTGATCACTGGAATATTTGAATTTTGATTTGATCAACAGTATGAGCAATTTGAGAGAACCACATATGTTGCAGAAACACATCAAAGCTTTAGAATTGAATCCATGCATGCCCATTTGCATTATCAACTGAACTTAGTGCTCTTCATCTCCAACTATTTCATTTAGAATTATGGATTTTAAAATATTGAACTTGCTCCCCTTGTCGTGTTGGCTAACTATTGTATGTTGCTGGTGGTGTTTAGTATAGTTATATTGATTGACTAAGTTTGACTTTAGAGTGAGTAGTGCTGATGATTATATGAACCAAAACCAATGATATTATGCTACTAGCATCAATGCTGCTAAAATTGGATTGGTTAGTGAAGCAGTGAAGACACTAAAGTTCTCATTTCATAATTTGTTGGTTTTACTGTGATTAAACTGTGCTTGAGACATTAAATAATATCAGTCATGTCAAAATCAAACATTGTAAAGCAAACACTGCGGGAGGTATATGTTTAGATGCATATTATATCTGAAATCAAATTCAGATTACAAGTATAATTTTGACTTGTTGCAAAACCTTCTGCAACAAGACTTACTTTGTGTCATCAAAGCAAAGAATATTTAGAGTGAGATAATTGGGTTTTTCCTTCTTCATTTTTCAATTAAAATTAAGAATACATATGTCAATACTGGAATGAAAAATTATTGCTAAACATGGAACAAAACTGAAATCTGAAACATATATACACATGGACAAATTTGTGGTGCATACCAACCAAGTGATATCATTTGGCCATCTTTGAGAAACTGGAAACTGGAAACTGGAAACTGGCTGATTAATATGGATCTGTCATCACTCATTAGGATGGCTCCCAGTTGAACTCGCCAGGCTACTCTGGTTTTTAAATCCATGAATAGCATTCTTAAATTGAACCTCTGATGATGCACTATACGTTGGAATACTGATAATTGAATTGCATTTCTTTTTCACGTTTGTAGTTTGTTGACCATCACACATGTTTCCTATGTGCTAAAGACTAGTGAAATTTTTTATAGGTGAAGTTATGGTGTGACTGCCCTTTCTGGCCTGATGATGGCATGTGTCGGTTGCGTGACTGTAGTGTATGTGAATGTCCAGAAAATGAGTTTCCTGAATCATTTAAAAAGCCTCACCGCCTCTCAATGAATGATCTTATTTGTCAAGAAGGAAAACCTGAGGCAGCTGTTGACCGTACTTTAGACAGTAAAGCTTTCAGAGGATGGACCGAAATAGATAATCCATGGACAAATGATGATGAGACTGACAATGGTGTGTTACTCTGTATGCTGATTCATATCTAAATTATTTATGTTCATAGTTTAGTGTATCCAATTAATTGTGAAATATTAGATATTAACAATGAAGTATAGAAATTAGGAATTTAGGATTCATAAATAAATATATATTAGGTGATATCAGGTTGCTTATGTTCTTCAAATAAGTTTATCTCGGTTAATAGATTTTGTTTGATGTCTTAATCCACTAGGATAATTTTATGACTAAATTTCAACTTGATCTATCTTTGGGGCAAAAATTTTCACTATCAGAAAGTAAAGTAGTTAGCATTCACTTCTAAAAGCTTATAACGGTTTTTAATAGGTGGAAGCTTAGGATTCACTTTTTATACTCTTGCTGTATCAAAATTTAGTCATTTTATAATATATTGAACTTTCCAAGAAAAACAAGCATGTCAATTGAAAGCATGATTGCATTTGCAGATGAGATGACATACGTGAATCTTCAACTGAATCCTGAAAGATATACTGGTTACACTGGTCCATCTGCAAGAAGGATATGGGATGCTGTCTACTCCGAGAACTGCCCCAAATGTAAGTTTTATCTGAAAAGCTTATGCACTTCAATCACCCCTTCCACCCCACTGCTTCCCAAAATATAAAAACAATGAATCAAAGGGCTGCTACTGTGGCTCTAATGAACTATAGTTAATTCTGGGGATCCAGTTAAACTTTAATATGTTGAAAAGGCCTTGGATTTTTTGTAGTTGAGTGGTACCTTTCTGGTTGCAAACATTGACGGACCAGTAACTTTGAATGCGAATGATTACCCTTTATATTTCTCTCTGTATGGATTATTTTTTTTTTAATTATCTAATGTCCATTGTTCTCCACCCATAGAGTGGATATTAGTCATGTTCTTATTTTCTATGGTACCTATGGTTCATTAACTAGAAAAGGTTTGTCTTTTTTAGATCCGTCTCAAGAGTTATGTCAAGAGGAGAAGATTTTGTATAAATTGATATCTGGTCTTCACTCATCCATTTCAATTCATATAGCTTCTGATTATCTACTTGATGAAGCTACAAATTTGGTAAATTTTGTATTCCTCTTTCCAGCCATTGCTAAATTTTTTTTTTGAAATAAATATATGTATTGCTTTTGAACAATTAAATACAGTTCATCGCACATTTGTGCATGTAAGTAGAGAGTTGTTTGGTTTTTGTTTCACAGCCTAAAAGTTTTAATTTATTTAGTTTTCTTTTGGCATATTGGATATGCATCAACTAATTTGGATGCAGTTATCTTTGAAGCCACCTGCATTTTTTGTGGCATAAGCATGACTGCATCTTACTCTAGTACAATGCATTCTAACCTAAGAAAAATATATTTCAACATCTAACTTCTTACTTATTGATTTTTGCAGTGGGGCCAAAATCTTACTTTGATGTATGATCGAGTCCTAAAGTACCCTGATCGTGTGAGAAATTTGTATTTCACTTTTCTCTTTGTCCTGCGAGCAGTAACCAAAGTGAGTATAAATTGTGAGTCTAAAATATAAAAAAAAACTGGGCATCTATAGATTATATATTGATCAATCTTATATTTTCTTATTCTTTTAGAGATACTAGCTAATTATATTCTTGTTGCAACCACATTCCTCTTTAGGCTGCAGATTACCTGGATCAGGCAGAGTATGATACTGGTAATCCCACTGAGGACCTCAAGACACAATCCTTGATAAAACAGCTACTTTACAACCCAAAGCTTCAAGCTGCATGTCCAATTCCATTTGATGAAGCTAATTTGTGGAAAGGTCAAAGTGGACCTGAGCTAAAACAGAAAATTCAACAACAATTCAGAAACATCAGGTATTACTACAAACTAGTGAACTTAAATCTGCCCTAGCTAAATATTATCCATTAATAACTTTAAGGGGCTTTGTCGTGGCTTAGGGCATGTTTGGTTTCTGTTTTTAAAAACAAAACTTGTTTGATAAGTGTAGTTTTTGAAAACTAATTTCAAAAACAATCTCTTTTTTAATTATTAAGTTTAAAATAAAAAATTGGAATATCTTCAGTTTTCTGCTTTCAGATATATATTATTCATATTCTTTCTTTTACTCTCACATCTTCTTTCTCCACTTCTACTTTCCAAAAATAAGTCTTTTTTTACAATTGTTTTACAAAACAAGTTTTAAAACTAAAACTAAAACACAATCAAGCTCCTCCTTAGTCTCTTGTAAGCATGCTTCATGTTACTAACAAATACGTAGAAAAGACAATTGGGCTTCTAATGATTCATGGGATTGCTTACGAAACCAATTTGGTTGAAGGAATCAAATTATATAGGTTGGATTAACTAAAGCCTGGCATTGATATTTTTTGGCCTGCATAATGGTTTTTCCTTTCACCTTCTGTGTTTTAGAATCTTAGTCTTGAGTTTCCACATACTGAATACTGATGGATGTTAAAGTAGGTTTATCTCGAGACGTTTAAAGTGCAAATTAGAACATAACTTTCACTGTAGTAAAACAACTAAATGACAACTCCATTTATCTGTTCTCTATTTATTATCCTACTACTGATTTGATTTACACACTGATTCATTTTATTTATCTCATTGGCAATGGAATTTTTTTTTTGTGAAATGCAGTGCATTGATGGATTGTGTAGGATGTGAGAAGTGTCGGTTATGGGGGAAGCTTCAGGTTCTTGGTCTTGGAACTGCATTAAAGATTCTCTTCACTGTTGATGGTCAAGAAAACTCGAGTCAAACAGTAAGTTCATTTTGCGCTTGAGATATGTTGTCTTCCTCTCTTGACTGCTGCCTTCATGCATGTACCATAAATCAGATTGCTTCTGCAGTTATCTTTATTGCCATGTAGATCCTGAACAAATTTGATTGTTAAGTTGTAATCCAGCAAGTTTTTGGTTTTAAATTTGAAAACATTCTTGTTCTTTCATTCACTTTACGGCTAGTATGTGCGTCATATAATGTTAAATTTTATTGTTATTGTAATGTTGTGATAATATAAATATGAGAATGCTAGTGACTCTTTCTAATGCTCTCTTTCAAACACACTTTATTATTAGTTAAAATTTATTATTAAAATCACAAATTTTATGGCTCTCGCATATTATTAACTGTCTCTTTTGATTTGTTGCGGTAGAACTCATCAAAATTTGTAGAGAGTGTCACTAACATGTCTCTCTCTCTCTCTCGCTCTCTCTCTCTCTCTATATATATATATATATTGTACTTTGTTTAAACACTGACCACTCAATGTCACAAGAATCTTTAAGAAAGTCAATTATGCATGTGCATGTATTGTGTATATTATGTTCTTATTTACATTACTCTTACATCCCTTAAATTTCCCCCCCTCTATTATATTAATCTATAGATAAGTCTCTCAACAATGGAACTTCGTGAAAAATTTAAATATGAAAAAGAAAATCAACATAGGATTAACTTTTCAAAATAGAGTAAAATATGAGTGGTAAGAGTAATTGGCTATAGTTTCTATAAAAGAAATTACTTGACTCGTATTGTGAATATTAAAATACCATTGAATGACCCTATATGTTGACTTGGATCTTTCAGCTGCAGCTGCAAAGGAATGAAGTAATTGCATTGACAAACCTTCTCAATCGACTTTCGGAATCTGTCAAATTCGTCCATGAAGTGGGACCTACAGCTGAAGGAATCATGGAAGGACATCTTTCTGCTCATACAACACTGATTAACTCATGGAAAAAAATTTGGTCCTATGTATCTAAAACTTAGTAACATGCTCTCTTATGAGTACTTGTATTATTCGTTTGATGTACCAAACTGAGTATTGCATTTACTCCAGAGATTAGACATAGGAAACCATGGTCGTAGTTTGGAATTTTTCTGAGGGGTGTGAAACTAATGTACTCAAAATTGAAAATAAATACTTGAATACAGGGAAAAGAATTAACTGAAAGTAATAGAATATATATAAGTTGAACTTGGATGTAATCCCCTTGTCCCAACTAATTTTGTGGAAGTTTTTTTTGTACAATATTTGTTTGTAATTCAATTAGCGTAATCCCCCGCCCTTTTTCCCATGCTGTCTTGTGAAAAGGAAACATAATCACGTCATAAGGTTGGTATCTACATGTCAACAAAAATAAAAAAATTGGAATTTAAAAAAAAAGTGACATAAGCATAATATATTTAAATTTGTCGTTGGGATGAAAAAAAAAGGGTTAAATAGGCTTCCCTACTATTTACTCTTGAATTTACTTGTATTACAAGAAAATTCTTAAGTCTATTATGTATTATTTATTACACTTATCTATTAAAACTTTACTGCTCATTCAACGGTAATTTTTGTCTTTCGATAATTGTGCTCTTGTATAAAACATTCATTGGTTTTTCAATAACTAATTTTTATTGGAAAATCTGACCAATTATTTTTGTTAGAATTTTACTTTCTAATTATATTTCTTTTATTTATAAAATTTAAATTTGAGATTTTATTTAAGGAAATTGAGTTAAACTAAGTATCATTCAGATTGACTCACTTGTTAAATTTTGGGAGCATATGATATCTAATATGTCTGGCCTCTAATTAAACTACAAGAAATACCAAATCCGTACAGAAGTCTTAAACAACGTTACACAGCATGCTATCTGTTCTGGCTGGTAGCCTCTTGAAGTTGCTAGGTACTAACTTCCAAACTACACGAAATTTGTGATGTTGGACAGAGAAAAATAAAATAAAATAAACAAATGATGCTATGGTTTGGTTTTCATTAGTATCCTTTAACTGAATTTCAAACTTGCAACTAGCAATTTGCGTGATTAGACCCCCGGGTTATCATTGATATTGTCTAGATAAATTTACAGAACTGAAAATCTATGATACATATAACCCCCATTTCGATTTTTACAAAGGATAATTCAGGGATGCTAATCTTAATCTGGGGTCTAACGTTTATGTTAAGTTACATCGTGTGAACAACTGTTTGAATAAAAATAAACTACACGAAATGACTAAAATGAGTAAAATCCATACTTAGTCTTAAAACTACGTTTCACAGCATGCTATCTGTTCTTGCTGGTAACCTCTTGAAGAAGTTGCTAGGTACAGAAGGAAGTTTGCTACGAAACTTAGGATGCCGCAGATAATACAAACCTATTACCATAGCCACCACTCTCGGTGGTGCTGCATAGAGAACCACAGCTGAACAAAAGCTGAACACAACAAAGAGGCTGGTTGCTCTGGTGTCTCTCCAACTCAGTAGAGACTGAAACCTCTCTCCCTGTGTTGCTATGTCCCCTACAACTGTTTGAATCCTTCCTGCAACACTTCTAAGCCTGTCATACCTCATTCTCACCACATCATGTGATCTTGAAGTTGGGAATGTGTCAAACTCTTCATCAAGCTCATCAGGGTGAACTGCTTCTGCCCATGAGAGTTTTGTGTCCATGTGGGGTGGGTGTCTAGGTCTGAACCTATAGTTCCACAGGCCAATCAAGAACATGTAGAGGAACAAAGTTGGAAGGATCAATTCAGGGTAGAAAATGAGTATGAGGAAGAGAATGTGAACTAGGATTGATGTGATGGGGTTCTTCCAATGGCAAACTTGGCTAAACCATTGCCCCATTGTGATGATGCCAGAGAAAAGTGACATGATGCGAAAGAAGTTGGCTTTGCTTCTTCTCATGCTCCACATATGGGAATCAACATCCAACATGTACTCCACCACTTCCTTCCTGAGGGGAGGTTCAGCTCTTCCAAGCCTCACTGCCACAATGTTCATGGCTTGGTACCTCAAACTCTCTACTTGGTTAATGGTGAAAGGGCGCAAGTAATGCATCTTTGGAAGCAAGGGTTGGCCATAAATGTAAACCATGTTAGCCAGTGAGAGGCTCGTGAACCTCACTGCTAGCTGAAGGTCACCCATTTTCTTGACACCATGTGGATGCAAAACAAGAAGGGGGTAGCTATGAGTGTATATCCTATGAGCTTCAAGTGTTGAGAGCCTAATCCTTACCTTTCCAATTCTTGAATCCCTGGATGCAGTGCCGCTAGTAGCTTTTTCCCCTCCACCTAGATGGCAGTTGTCAAAAACACCAAGTGTTATCACAGTGCAAGGATCATAAACCTCCCATGTGTATTGCTCATTCCATTTTGGACTGAAAGTGTCAAGAATTGTTCTGGTTCTGACCCATTTTTGGCCATACTTGGCAACACAGTATGCATCGGTACTGCCGCGGCCATCCCTCATCTTCATTGGGAGGAGTCCTTGGGCTCCTAAGATGCCTACTTCAAGTATTCCAACAGGCTGCTTCCATAGCTGTCTAGCTGTTGGTCTTTGGTCACTAGAATACATAGTGGACTCATCAAGGACATGGTAGCCACCTTCAAGACAAATTCTTAGGTGAATCCTGCTTGAAAATTTAAGCTCATTTCTCCTATCAGCTTCCATCATTCCAAAACCAAACTTCTCTAGATTGAACCAACGCGAATGAACCGGTCTGTGGTCTAACCGCTTCTCAAAGAGGGTCAATGGCAAGGTTATCTTCCCTAGTACTTCATCTTTTGAAGGGTGCACTCGATCCTCCACAGTGATTGTCAACATCTCCTCAAATGGTTCAGCTGCCACAAAAACCAAATCTTCATTCCAAAGTGGTGTGGTTGTCCTAGTTGGACATATCTTGGTCCTCAACACTTGGCTCCCCATCTGAGCCTTGACAAAAACCTCTGGCAGGCGGTTTCTGTCACTTGGTATCACATCTTGTGCTTCAATGACATTCACCCTTAGATACCATAGTTTTGGTGACACATAAACCTTTGATCTGACATTGAAAACACCCTCTCCATACACAGTTGCGGCATCAGAATGCCAAGCCTCTGAGAAAGCTTCATCAGCTTGAGTTCCCATCCACACTGCAAGCATGATATCACCCCTTACCCTCCCTTCTCCTCGCCTGTCCTCGAGTCTGTACCACTGAGGAGCCAGTGGACTATCTGGGGGAACTCTGGTTGGAACTTCATTTAGATCAAATGCCACCCTTCCAATATAATCATCTCTTCCCACCATATCTTTGTCTTTCACAATGACTTCCAAAATAGAAGATTGAATTCTGTCTTTAGAGAAAGCATAGACTTGGTTCCACTCCGGATTGGTTTTCTTCTCTATGTGCTTTGTTCTTCCTTTGTAGTTCCCCAGCTTCACTTCCACATAAGGATCACAGCTTGAGGTGAGAATGCTTGGGGGAAGATCTTTGGCTTTCACCACCCTAACATACAGATAGAACATCTGCTCAACAAGGTCATGTGTGCTTGAGAATCTTTCACCACCACTCATCCACCCTCTTCTTGCATTAGGCCACCGCTCCCCGAGCTGTGGATCGGTCTCCCTCAGATTGTAGTCTTCATCTTGGGCTTGGCTACTAGGATGGACTTGAGGGCCAACTGAGTGCATTGTGACTGGAGCACCTCTTTGTCTTCTTTTTATTGAATTCATTGGCTGCGGGTGAACTTGTTCTTTGTGTAGTTGTTTTGTTATCTATATGCTTTCCTCTTTTGGATCTTGATTTTTGATCAGCATCAATGCCACTAGACTGAAATGTCGAAATTTGCCAATGCAGCTGAGTTTACATTCTAAGCTTCTTCTGTGATTGTTTTTGCGGTGTCAAATTCAGCACCTTCAACTTTGGGGTCACCTTCTGATGTTATGTTAGTAAGGTCAATATTTCTGTGTTTGGGGGAGGACAAAGAGGAAGGTTAGTAATGTTGGATTTGGATTTGGATTTGGATTCTGGTACTTTTGGTGAAGTTGGAGATGAGAGATTTTCTAGTTCTGAAGTGGAAAGGAAGAAGAAGCTTTAGGTTTGGACTATGATGATGCAATATAGACTTTAAGGCTACTCTCACCCTTCACAGAAGAGAAACTTTTTCTTTAAAGGGTAAGTTTGATGAACTTCCTCACCTTTCTTAACAAGATTAGAGCAAGGACTTCTTTCCCTTCCAAGAAATTTTTGGCCTGGAATAGGTCTCTCCTCTCGTGGTAGACCAAGGCTTGGTTGCATCCAAATGGAATAACAGTTTGTGATTCTAAGTGGGGTTGAGGTTCTTTGGGACAGTTCTGGTTCTGCTTAGTTGGTTTTCAAAGTGTACTTCTACTGTTCTACAAATGCACTAAGATCATGAGCATCAATGATCTCCACAACCAAGTACCACCTTCACATCCTTTAAATTTTCTTCGTTGTGTCTATCCACAAGTAAACCAATATTCGATTCTGAATCCAACAAATTCTACTTAAGAAGGCAAAAGATGGAAGAAAACACAGTAATGGCTGTCTCACTTTCCCACACAATAGAAGTCCTCACTACTTCTCTGGTTTAAGAAAGGAATAATTTGATGAAGAAGCTGCATAAACTTTAATAATCTTAATAAGGTAAAACAGAAAAAAGTAAATAAATAAATAAAGGAAAAGCTTCATATTGAGAGTCCGTTTATTTAAACTTAAAAAGGAAATGTTTATTTTTTAAAATAAAATCTTTAAGTAGATAGGAATTACTTCTATAAAAAAAAACACTACTTATTTTTAAAAAAAGAAGTTTAGACAAACACAAAAAAAAAGTACTTATTTTATTTAATAAAAATGCTTTTATAAGAAAAAAAAAAAGTTTAAGCAAACTGTGAATTGAAGTAACATTGAGTCATTCTATTTGTACGAAGGTTGTTGTAATTATTAGATTTTGTATTTTTAATAGCATTCCATCATATCCATTATGTAGAAATCAAATAACTAATTTATCAAACTCAATCATAGTAGTTAATTTTAATAATATTATAAAATTAAATTTTATTCTAAAACCACCTTTTGAATCGAATAGTTTAAATAGTAGTTATATTTAATGACACTATACTTAATTTAAGAGATAACTTTTTCTATCAATTAGTGTAATTTTGTCATTAGATCAATAAATATTTTTACCAACATGAGGATATAAAATGAAATTAACAATTAATATATCTTAAAATAGATATATATTTCTTCTAATTAGGACACATGAAATTTCAATTAGTTTTTACTCAGGTGTGTGTTAATGAATGTAATTACTTAATGAATGGGGTTATTTTCCTAAAGGGACTAGTTGAAAGGATCAGTTCTTTCTTCTATGTGCAGCAATGCCAAACACTAAAAGTGGAGAAAAAGTGAGTGAAATAATTATCAAGGAAGATTTGAAGATGCAAGAAAGCAAAGATTACTTAAGCTCAAGGGCTTGTGTTGTGACCTTGCCCAAAGATACTTTCCTTGTGCTTTATTTTCCTTCTCCTTTTAAGGATGTATGTATATTATAATAATTTAATCATTCATATATTGCAAATATAAAATTTTTTACACTGATAATTAATCATATCTTTTAAAATTATTTATTTTATTATTATTTCATTAAATAAGCAACTGATATGACACTATTAAAAAATATAATTGGTTGTTAATGTAAAAAAACTTTACACTAGCAATATATAGATAATTAACTCTATTATAATTTGTAATATATAATCATATATCTTCATACTTTTGATTTTTACTTTTTACCTTGCCAACTCAATTCCTGCCAAAAGTTGTTCATAGGTGCTTTGGTGAGATCATTGACACAGCCCACAAAACATGGCAACATGTAGGATGGGCAAAGAACAAATGCAGTGACATATATTTTTTTAACTAAAGTTGGTGGTTCTGACTAAGTAAGATACATGGTTACACTTTTTGAATTTGTTCATTACTTCGTGGGGATTTGCCTCGAGATTAGAAAGTTTTCCTAGTTACGGAATTTATCACGTGTACAAATGTAATTAGATTGAACTCAATGTTTGGAAATTACTAAAAAAAATTAAAACTAACTTAATTGAGATGCAGTGATAAAGGTTTTAATATTTTCAATTAATAATAATCATCATATAATTGAAATTGAAATTTGATAAATTTTGAAATTATTATTTCAGTGTTTTGTTTGGATTAATAGAGAAGAGATAAATGAGGGGGGGAAAGTGTTTTTTGTATGGATAGAATAAGAAATAAGCGATAAAAATATATATCTGATTATTAGGATGAGCAGAAAAAATAATAAATATTTTTATATCAATTAAAATATTTTTTACATTATAAACTTTTTAATAAATCAATATTTATTATATTTAAAAATAATAATTTTTAAGCAACACCTTATGTACATTTTCCATCCAAAATCATGGTTAAAGTGAAAATAAATAAAATATAATTGGATCCTAAAAATTTTACAATTGATCTCCTAGCGAATAAATAAAATACTTAATATTTCTCCTAAATTCTTTTTTTTTTCTAAACAAACTTAGTATAAAGTTATACTTAGGCGACATAGTAAAAAATTGGTGGTATTGTTTTTGTGTGGCTCGTTGCCTGTAGATTCATCCATTTGATGAATAAATTTTTAATTCATAAAAAAGAAAAAAAAAGTTTGTGTAAGGATAGTAATTCACATGGTGAGGATATTACTATATAAATTGGCTTCACTTTAACTAAATTAAATTATAAATAAGATTGAACCTCAACCGTGTGGTTCAGTGGTAGAGGCTGATCCATGCTTAAACAGTGTGTATGCAGCCGTGTTAAATCTTGGGGTCAACTATCTCATTCTTTGAGGTGCCTCCAACGTAGCGAAGAGATTAATCACTGTTATCGGCGGTGGATACTCCAGGGACGAACAAAAAAAAAATTACAAATAAGATTGAGAGATTGTTCGGTGAATGAACTTTTGATAACGTTTAGTTCTCTTCTAAGTTTTTTGTTCATTACAATTTTTTTTGGCAGCAAAATCTTCTATTTATAGGCTCTGAAAAAAGAGATGTTGTAGAAGACTATCATTAACACAAGCTACATTTTTGTGTAGGCACGTCATAGTAAAAATAGTTATGGCACACATAAGTAACTTTTTTCATTTTTGTTAAACAATCCAAAGATCTCACTACTAAAAAATCATTGTTCCACTTTGTCAATTCTACATTAATTTAGTAAAAACAATGTAAAAACAAAACGTAGTGACATTTTTATAATTAAGTATAAAATATAAAAACATATTTACATCGATTTTGAGTGTCACTGATGTAAATATTGAGTGTTATATATCGATTTTGAATAGGACCAATGTAGTTTCAAAGCACAGTGGCATTATTGTAAATAACCCTAAAATGTAAATATATTTACATCGGTTTACTCAGTGACCGATGTAATATTGAGAAGCATTTACTCGTGCACGAGCCTCTTCCCCCAAAGAAAGTATTCTTCTCGAAGCATTTATTCTGCAAAAAAAAAAATACGCGCGAACTCTAGATTAAACTCTAGAAGCCCTAATTGCAAGCACCAAACCCTCATTGTTTTCTTTTTAGATACTAATTGTAAGCATCATTGTTGTTCTCTTTCGCTTTAGAACTTTAGAATACTAATCTTTGATTATGCTAGAGCTTCCAAAATGTCATTATTTTCTTTTCGAATTCTTAATCTATCTTTTAAACTTATGAATTAAGCTTTTGTATCGCTCACGAATGAACGAATAGGAGTCCAATTTGGTTTATGGTAGGATATACTACAACTATCTTTGAATTTGGATCAACAACATGAGACATCCATGCTGGAAAATTCTTACAATAATTAATTGGGCACAAGAACAAGCGTAGTGGATCCAACAATGAATGGAATGTTAACATATCATTGTAGAAAGGCAACATGTTAATGGTCATTTATCTCATGTAAATGAATATATGACATGGTATAAACCAAATACAATTCTTTATTTGTTTGTGTCCCAACAATTAAAAGACTTATGAGTTGTAGAAAATATTGATGTTGTCTAAATGTCACAAATGCCAACCCAAAAGTCAACACAATGATAATGTCAACAACAAAATACAACTATAAATCTCAGCTCCATTATTACTGATAATATGCAAAATAATGGTTGAGAATCACAATGTAATTTATTTTTCGTAACTCCTCCATCATAATAATAACTCGATCAATACTATGACAATCATTGACACTCTTTCATATCAATAACAAAAGAATTTATTAATAATCTATTTGGTATAAATGTTGGTTTGCCACGGTCAATTGCAATATATTTGCAAAACATGTATCCTAACGACATTTCATCTTTAACCAACATGAATCTTATATTCAGCAAGAGGTAAATACTTCTTCTGCTTGCAACACCCTCAGATTTGATGTCTTAGCAGTTCCACTCCACATCTTTTCTCGCAACTCCTTATTTGTCAGAATCCTTTGTGGCTAGCCCCTTTTGAGGTTTCTATGATTTCTATCTACTTTTAGGATCAAGGATTGACCCCACAAAGCAACACAAGATTTTTCAACGTGTTTTGTCATCACTCGCACACTTTCTGGAAAATTTTTCAGAATGTCACTCATCCCTAAATTGCTCCAAACTAAGCACGCTAACTGTGGAGTTCTTATGTGATAAGCTACCAAGAAATAGATGCATCTTGTTGGTATAGGTAGTACAAATTAATTCTCTTAAGTTATCTTCAATCGTATAATCTCACACCAGTATAGATCTCTAGATCTCTCTCATTTCGATGTGCCTGAGTTGTTACACTGCCCATTATGTTGATGATTAACATGAACATATGTCACAAGATCTAATATATTGTTGATGATGAAAACAATCATATACGACAGACAACCTCGCTCGTCCTTGTTGCAATCCTTCGCGAAATAAAAAATCATCACCCTGTGAAACTTATGATCATCTTCAACATTGATATTTTTTTAATTACTTTTTGTATTGTACTTTTTTTAATGAAATTTATGCTTTAATGATTTTAAAAAAAGATCAATGAAAAACAATGGCCCCTAAGATAATGTTTAAGGGCTTAATTGGGTAAAAAATAAGTGATTTTTTCTTCTTCAATTTTTGGATATCATTTTGAAGAGCTTTTTTTAGAACCAATTCAAGACATGAAAGTGATACTATTGTACCACTAACATGAAAATTATGAGTATGGATTATTGTTTGAACTAAAAAAATCTCATACACATTAGTCAAGTTACACAAAAATTAACCTCTAAAACAAACTTAAAGAACTTAACTATGTAAAAAAAAGTGTTTTTGTCTATTATTTTAATACTTTTTAAAATATATTTTATGTTTTAATAATTTAATAAAAATATTAATATTTATGTATTTACTTTTCAAAGTTTAATTTATATTTTACTATTATATATATATATATATACATTAAAAATACATTTTTATAAATTGGGCATATATTTTTCATATATTTCCTGTCAATTTGGAATTATATTAAATGCGCCACCTAATATATAATATAGAGTTAATCATCTATACACTGTTAGTGTAAAGTTTTTTTTACCCTGACAACCAATTATATCTTTTAATTGTGTCATGTCATTGTAAACACATTTACTTTTAACAGTGACATGACACAATCAAAAGATACGTCTTCATTCGGGTTGGAGGGGAGGGGATAATCTGAAGTTTCTGCCAAAGTAGTCTCATCTTTGTGTTAAATCATTTGTCCCCAGCATCTCACAATTAATTATAAAAAGTAATTTTGTTAGTTCATAAAAGATATTGAAAATAAAATTAAGGGAAGATACTTGTCTTTAGTAAAATTTCTTGTTTTAGTTATTTATTTATTGGCTGTTATTGTATTCTTGTAAGCTATTCCACCAAATTATCAAATGCTTAACTATTGGGGTGTTGCCTTAGGTTTAGAGGAAGGTTTCAGAGATAATGGAATGTAAAGGGAATAGAAACAGATGAAATGGGATAAAATGGAATGGATGGGATGAGAAGGAGCCATCTTCACTTTGTTTGAATTGAATGAATAGTAAAGCCAAAAATGGGAAGTTATAGTTACATATGTAAAATTTCAGCACTGCCCTTACAAAGTTTAACTTCATTTTTTTGGAGGCTGAAACAGTAAATGAAAAGCTTTTGAAATTTAAGAGGTTGAGTTTATGAGAAAAAAAAGGAAAATGCTTCTCCTTACATTCCCTCTTCCTGCATAACACTAACACCAAATAAAATGATTATTATATATAAAATAATTAAAGTATATATGCAAATAAAAATAGGATACATAAACATTGATATGATACTTATTCAAGTTAAACTGTTTAATACATAACATAATAGAAAAAACTTAAAAAGATCATAAGAAAGAAATTAAATAAATAAATATAACAAAATTTATATAAAAAAATATAATGAAAAGGAAAAAAAAACCTGAAGTTTTAGAAGAAACAAGAAAAAAAAAAGGAAAAAAAAAAACAAAAGGGAAAGATTGAAAAGAAGGAGTCAACAAAGAAAGATGAAAGAGAAGGAAAAAATATGCTATCAACATTATTTACCTTAAAAAAATCAGATTTGACAGGTAAAAAAAAATGGGGACTTGGAATTAGAGTTTGAGTGTTTGACAAAGAAATGCATAAAAAAGAGTTGAATGGGGGAAAATAAATGTATATGTAAAGACTATTGGACTTTTAGCTTAATATTCTAAATGTTCTAGTAAATGTATATGTAAAGACTATTGAACTTTTAATTTGTGACTCATGGTATATACACCTATATCATGAGCCTTAACTTAATATTCTAGTAAGCTCAATATGAAAAAAAATAAAATAATAAATTGGTAGACAAAAGAACTTAAGCAAGTATTAATGGCTACTTTTAAAAAACTCACGTGACTTTTGCAACATTTGCACGTGAGGTTTGTAGCGAGTGTTCCCCTTTTCCGTCCTTTGGAACCAGAATGTTTCAGTTGGTAAAAAACATTAGGGTTTTTGGAAGGGGTTTTAGGGCAATTGCTCGCAACCAGAAACCCCCAATTCTCCTTCCAAACCTTCCAAATGCTTCGCTCCAATGGCGTTAGGCTCCTTCGATCTCTGCCCACAAAACTCCTCCGTCCCGCCAACGAGCCCGTATTTACCGTTCCTCTCTCTTTCTCGCCCCTTGGTTATTTAACTTCGATTTTCAAGACATTTTATGTCTCAACTTTGATTGATCAATTTTTTTTGGAATTTTTTTGTTTTTGTTTTATTGAATCTCAGATATATGAAGGAGTGTGCCGAAGGGGTTATAGGACGTTGAGTTCAGGACTTTGTAATCCATCCAGAGTTATGGGGGTTTTTTCTCCAAATGGTGTGTGCTTGTTATTTATGCAAGCTTCGAAGTTTTTTTTTTTTTTTTATTTATTTAAGAAATTGGATTTTTAATTTGGTTGTGCAATTATACGGAGAAATGAGAATCTGTTGAGTAAGTCGGTTATTTTCTGATTAGTTTGACAATTATTGGTCCTCTCAGTGTTTTTCTTGTGATGTTATATTGAGGTTTTTATTAAAGATAAATAAATAAATTGTGAAGGCTATAATTTTCTGGTGTTGTTTTTGCTGATCATTTCTCACCCTCCAATTGCAGCTGGCGACAGTGTTAATTTGAAGAATTGGTTGCTAGTTGGAGCAGCAAATAAATATTGGGGGACATCTAGATTCATTCATGGGTCAGGTATAAAATATTGAATTATGCTTCATGTGCTTGCCTTACTCTTCATTCTTCTTGGAGTCGCATGGAAAGCTGCATTGGTTGTTTATGGCTTGCAATTTGTCTACTATTTTCATTTGGTGATGAAGTAGAAGGGGCCTGAACTCCTGAAGTTAATGCCCTTTTGTTCAATTAACTTACGTTTTCTATTTTGGTCTTCCCCTGTATGCATAATTATTTGTCTTGTGAATGATTTCTTTTTCTCCCTCAACTCCTTTTCAGCATCATTGGCGAGAGACTATTATGATGTGCTTGGTGTGAGTAAGAATGCAAGTTCTTCTGAAATAAAGAAAGCATACTACGGGGTAGGTTTTGATTAACTAGTATCAATATATATATATACTAGAACATTTTTTTAAATTTTTTTTTGGTAAACATGACTTATTTCCTGGTAAAAATTTATGATTTCTTGTATCTTTCCTGGTTAAAAGGGATCAGATTATAACATTCTTTTTTAATTTCATGTCTTTCCCACATGCTTACAAAACTGTCATTTTCTTTATAGTATGTGGTTACTGCAGTCATTTCCCAAGTAGCGATATTAAAAATAATTGTTTGAATTGGACTAGGAAGAGTTTGTTTTAAATCATGTTGATCTTACATATGCAATCACTTATTTACATTATATATTACAGAAATATGTCTTTCACCTTTTGCTGTTTAATTTTTTACTTGCTACTTTTTTATGATTTTCTTTTACCAGAATCAGAATGTATTATTCTCTTATAATATTTTAATGTCTGCACAAGTTCTAGGCTTGCTAACATATTCCTTACAGTACCCACAAACACAAAGTCGAGACCAGAGCGCCCCCCCCCCCATAACCAACCCCCAAAAAACAAAGTCGAGACCAGAGCATGACCGGAAGAATAACGGAGAAAAGGAGGAGATTATATGCTTTACCTGGGTCTGGTGTGCGGTTGTCTTCTAAGTCGGATTCGGTGCCTAAACGCAGCAGCAAATCCTATCTGGCTTTGGAATGCAAAGTATCTCCCTCTCAAATTTGTGTTTTCTTCCTATTTTATAGTTGATTTTCGAATATTTTCGTTCTGGGTACAAATCTGAAAAATATATATTTTTTTTAATAGAATCACTGCGGATACGGATGAGATACGTATCTTTCACGTATCAAAACGTATCCGTATCGGATACGGATACGGGATCAATTTTCACGTATCCGTGCTTCAGAGATACCAGAACATTTTTTAAAATATTTTTGGTAAACATGACTTATTTCTTGGTAAAAATTTATGATTTCTTGTATCTTTCCTGGTTAAAAGGGATCAGATTATAACATTCTTTTTTAATTTCATGTCTTTCCCACATGCTTACAAAACTCTCATTTTCTTTATAGTATGTGGATACTGCAGTCATTTCCCAAGTAGCGATATTAAAAATAATTGTTTGAATTGGACTAGGAAGAGTTTGTTTTAAATCATGTTGATCTTACATATGCAATCACTTATTTACATTATATATTACAGAAATATGTCTTTCACCTTTTGCTGTTTAATTTTTTACTTGCTACTTTTTTATGATTTTCTTTTACCAGAATCAGAATGTATTATTCTCTTATAATATTTTAATGTCTGCACAAGTTCTAGGCTTGCTAACATATTCCTTACAGTTCCCTTTACTTATCCTTCATTCTTTCTTGACACAAATTCTTCAAAGACTCTTGATAATCATGAATTGTTTGTCTAAAATAATTCTTTCCCTCTGCCATTTCTACCATCTCAAATTTTTTTTTCCTCTATGTTCTGCAGCTTGCAAAGAAGCTCCATCCTGACACAAACAAAGATGATCCTGAGGCTGAAAAGAAGTTTCAAGAAGTTTCAATTGCATATGAGGTGTACTGTTGTTGTTGTTCTTTTTACTGCCTAGAACTCTAATTGAAACTGTTATGTGATGAGTGAACTGGCTTCTGGTTTCTTGACTTTCCCCCCTTTGAATAACTGCACTGTAGGTTTTGAAGGATGAGGTAAAACGCCAACAGTATGACCAGGTCTCATGTCGTTCCAGATTTTTTTTTGCTCCTTTATTGAACCTTGTATTGTTACTATTAACTATGTTTATAAAATAGGTAACTGATTATATGCACAAGAGACCTAAATTGTAGATCATAAGAGCATAACATGGAAATAATAGTAGGACTTGAGCAAAAAATATCTGTTTTATGGATATTAGAGGATATATATATATATATTTGAGTGAAAAAGTAGAGGGGAGAGGTTGGAGAACAATGGCATTTTTTTTTTATTTAGTTGTTATTTTATTGTATTTATTGTCAATCTCTTTATTTGATTTAGTTTAACATGGATGTGTAGATTGGCCATGATGGGTTTGTAAACCAACAAAGCTCTGGTTTTGGAGGCAACAGTGGCTTTAATCCATTTGAGCAGATATTTCGTGACCATGTAATGACTTACTAGCTTCTATATTCTTTTTTGTTGGTCATGTCTATAATTGTATTAGTTGATCCTATTTCATTTTTTAAATAGTTTAGTCTTCATTGCTGTAGAAATTTTATTAGAAATTGTGCTTCAAAGAATAGTAGTCAACTTTGTATATAGTTTTAATGTTAAATGTGAGCTGTACAAACAGTCATACACAAATCATTCAACTACATCAATTACTTGTCCAATCCAAAGGCAGAACGATCGATTTAGTTTTTAATAGTGTACACACGTGCATGCTCCAACAATCATACAAGCAACCAAGCATCTTAATGTGTATGTGGCATCTTTGGCTGTGCATATGTTCTTCTTCTAAATTTTAATTGTATCAGAAACTCAAAATTTTATAAATTATTTGCTCTATAATTAAACATAAATGTCTCTGAAATTTTCACAAGTCATATGTCCCTCATTTGAAGACTAATATGATTTTTTTTTTTTTAACTCTGTCATTTCCCTCAATGGTGTTCAGGATTTTGTCAAGAGCTTTTTTCATCAGAATATTGGTGGAGAAGATGTCAAGGTTCTTTTCTCTTCACATCTTCTGGACATAGTTAAGTAAGCTAGGACTTGTTTGAGTTTGAGGAAATGCATCTTGTTCTATTTTTTCAGACTTTCGTTGAACTATCTTTTATGGAAGCTGTCCGGGGATGCACCAAAACTATTACATTTCAAACAGAAGTGCTTTGTAACACTTGTGGTATGCTCATGACTTCACCAACATTTATATGTTGAATTGTTGGCTATCTCTACTATATATAGTTTAGTTTGTAAGGCCTGTGTGTCTGGAAGGTCTCAAATTCTTTCTCTTGCTTGACTATTTCAGGTGGGAGTGGTGTACCACCAGGCACCAGACCTGAAACCTGTAAACGCTGTAAAGGGTCAGGAGTGGTAAGTATTGTTTTAAATTTAAGCTGTAATAATATATTATTATGATGATGATGTTAAGCTAATGGCTTTTTACATGTCCAGATATTTGTACAAAATGGCATATTTAGGATGGAGAGTACTTGTGGTACATGTAAGGGAACTGGCAAAATTGTGTCGGTATGATGCAAACATTTAATTTTTTTCATATTCTTCTATCATTTTGAGTTTATTATACGAGTTTGGATATGATGGACTTGGATGTGATTCATGTAACTTGCTTATTATTGATACTTATTTCCTTTTTATTTGGCAGTGATCCTTATTTGGAGATTTTCTCCAATTTCATTAAATTTTATAAATAAATCCTACAAAGAATAATGTAGGATCATCATATGCATGTAGTTATGCTGGTTTTTCATACCAATCACTAGTAATTTTGTTCTTTCTTGTTGGCACCAGAATTTCTGCAAGTCATGCAAAGGTGCAAAGGTTATCAAAGGAACAAAATCGGTCAAATTGGATGTTATGGCTGGTAACAACTATTTTTAAAAAAATTTGGACGCATTGTTATTATGTGAATCATGTTCATATGGCTTTCAAAGGAAAAATCAAATGAACAAGCAATTTCCCTGTGAATTTTCCTTATCCTGTTTTTCATGATAGAATTTGTATGGTTGGAACATGGTAGAGACCAAACACTAAATCTGAGTCTTTGACAACAAACACAAATAGACAGAAGCTCCCAATTGCATATTAAAGTTTATGCTTTTGATCATTGACTTTTCTATAATTTGGAGTGATGTTGAGTGTTGACTATCTCTCTTGATAAAATTGATTTAATGAATTATGGGAGCAAAAAGGATGTTGGAGATCTCACATCAACTAGTGGTATGGTCAATCTAGTATATGTAAATGAGGTGCAATCTTTACCTTACAAGCTAGTGTTGTAAGGTTAAGTTAGGCTCCAAAAACACTTCCTTAAGATGGCATCAAAGTCTATTATAGCAATTTGGTGTTGGGTTTATCAGACCATCCTCTATCGGGTCGTTATCGGGTCACCCACAAATGTCCAATCTTGCAAATTTCATACTTAAGATGTCTAGTCTTCGGTGTGTGTTGGAGATCCCACGTCGACTAATAGTATGGTTATACTAGTGTCTGTAAGTTGGGAGCAATCTTCACCTTACAAGTCAATTTTGTAAAGTTGACTTAAGTTCCAAACCCACTTTCTTAAGAGAAACTATATATTATGTGTATTTTGTACTTTCTCTAATATCCCTATTTATAGAGTAAATGACTATGCTTAAATATAGAAATAACAATAATAAAGAAATAGGGAAACAAATATCTAAAGATATTTGGAGATATTGTAGATCTTCTAAGTATCTATGATATTTATAACACTCTCCCTCAAGTTGGTAAATGAATATCAATCATTCCTTACTTGTCAATAAGATCTTGGAATCTAGCACTAGGAAGCCCCTTTGCGAAGACATTTGCTACTTGAACTCTTGTAGGCATATGAGTTGTAACTATAAGGTCACCATCCAACCTCTTTGATGAAGTGTTTATCAATCTCTGTGTTTAGTTTTGTCATGCTGAATTGAACTAGGTTATGAGCAATGCTGAAAGTTGAATTGTTATCATGAAACAACTTCATTGGACCCCATATATAAGTTTAAGTTCATCAAGAATAATTTTCTCCATGATCCTTCACATATGACATGTGCCATAGCTTGAAACTCAGCTTTTGCACTAGACCTAGCAACTACATTTTGCTTCTTGCTTCTCCATGTTACTAGATTCCCACCAAGAAACATGCAATAACTTGAAGTGGATCTTCTATTTGTGACAAACCCTGCACAATCAACATCAATGTATATCTCCATGGACAATGGACCTTCTCTTTTCAATAATAATTTCTTCTCTGGACTTGTCTTTAGATATCGAAGAATGCTCTCAACTGCATGAAGGTGTCTCTCACGAGATCATGCATAAATTGGCCAACAACACTAACTGCATAGGAAATATTAGGCCTATTGTGTGATAGATAATCAGCTTCCCTAACAATCTCTAGTATTGGGACTTCTCTAAAGGTGGACTTTCTTCACTTGGTGTCTCTCACGAGATCATGCATAAATTGGCCAACAACACAAACTGCATAGGAAATATTAGGCCTATTGTGTGATAGATAATCAGCTTCCCTCACAATCTCTAGTATTGGGACTTCTCTAAAGGTGGACTTTCTTCACTGCCAATCTTGTAATTTTGCTTAATGGGCTCCCTGTAGTCTTGCACTCCAGTTTTCCTTTTTGAGAAATAAAGATCCCTTTTCTAGAGTGTGCAACCTCCATTGCAAGGAAATACTTAAGTTTTCCCAACTAATAAAGACACATTTGATAGTTCTTGGGTCTAACATGCCACAATGAGAATTGTGAGAATGAACTGCAACACAACCAAACATGACATGGGAGACTTACTAGTTGGGGAGAATAAGAGAAAAAAGACAACATGTGTTCAACTGGACTAATACCCTGTAAGACACAAGTGGGTAACCTGTCAATGAGATAAGTGACAATTAAGACAACTTCTCCCCAATAGACATTAGAGACAAACATGTGAAAAAGTAGATCTCTGGCAACCTTAAGTAGGTGATGATTCTTTCTTTCTGCAACCCCATTTTGTTGGGGAGTATTAACACATGTTAATTCATGGATAATACCTTGCTCTATAAAAAACTTAGAAAATTCAAGATTAACATATTTAGTTCCATTGTTTGACCGAATTCTTTTGATAGACTTACCAAACTGATTTTTGGCAAGAAGACCATATACTATGTATTTCGTACATTCTCTAATATCCCTATTTATAGAGTAAATAACTTTGCTTAGATAAGGAAATAACTAATAGAGAAATAAGGATATTCTAGATCTTCTAAGTATCTATGATATTTACAACAAAGGACAAAAAGGGTTGACTGATTTGCATGTTTGTACATTTGCAGGGATTGACAACAATGAAACTATAAAGATTTATAGAAGTGGGGGTGCAGATCCTGATGGAGATAACCCTGGTGATCTTTATGTTACTATGAAGGTAACATAAAGATAACTTCATAACATAAAGCTTCAATCTATTCATAGCTTGGTGATCATTTCCTATTTTCTTCTCATAAGTCCAGTCATTTTTTATTTGCTTCCTTTGTACAGGTCAGGGAAGATCCTGTCTTCCGTAGAGAAGGATCTGATATTCATGTAGATGCTGTCTTAAGTATCACTCAGGTAATATTCCTTGATGAAAATGTTTTAACTTTTAAGCCTATGTCTGGTTGAGTCTTTTCAGGTTTCGATTTACATATGCCTGCATTTTATTCATACTTAAATAGTTTTAGTTTATAATTTTCTGGGGAAGCAAATTGCTAGCGTCGCCTAGGTAGAAAAAATGTTGTGATGAAGTTGGGCGTATATTTGTTGTTGACCAATGTAATTATTTGAATGCTTGAAAGTTCAAGTTGGTCTTGGATACAAATAATTCATGCCTTAAAACATTATTAAATTGATTTTTTTGAAGTCTCAATATTAAAAATTGTTATGCTCTAAATTAACAAAGTTGGTTTTATATATTTCAAGGTTAGCTTCTTACTTTATTTTTACACATGTTCTCATTTTAATTTGCTAGACATAATGAAATTTTAAGGAAAATATATTTAACCAAACATAAAATATAGCATTGCTCTTTAATATTTAGATTTAAATTATGTTGAAATGTGCAATTTTGTTGTATATAATTAAAAACAGTTTATTTTGTAAGGGGTGTTTACAATTCTTAGTATATATTGTGATTTGAGGTACCAAATAGCAAATATATGAATTAAATGAAGTCATGATGCTAGCATTCAAATGACTTTCCATGCTAACTCATTCACCCTTTTCCCTCTTTCAATTCCACAAAATATCATTTGGCAAACTAAATGTGCTCACGTTGATAAGGATCTCAGGTTTTAAATCTAGAGATGAAAACTATTAAAATCAATGATAATTTACTCTTTTGGTCTCTCTTTTTATTTAATTGATTTAGATTGATCCCTTTATTATTAAAAGGTTCAATTTGGTCCCTTAAATTTTAAAAATGATGGAATGTTACTTTTTCTGTCTAATTTAGGCTAACAATGTTACTTCCTTGTACATGTGGCAACAAGTGTCAATTTTTTTATTATGCCACTTGTACAAGAAAGTAACCCCATTTGTCTAAATTGGCCTGATATGACAACATTACATAATTTTAAAATTAAGAATCCAAATTGAACATTTTAATAGTAAAGGGACCAAATTGAACCTATTAGGGGATGTTTAGTACATGACAATTTTTTTAAACCTGGAAATTATGATTCATGAAAATCATAAATTCTAGGATTGTGCAAAAAATTCAAACCAATCCATATTAAATAAATCCGATCCATTTTTTAGAAAAAAGCCCAAACTGATCTACTTTGCAAAAACGGTTTGTTTACTCAATCCATTTTTACAAAGTGGATAGGTTCGGTCTAGTTTTGTTCTTCTAAAACATCGACCATAATATGAGTATAAAGTGGATAATTGCACCAAATTGATCCAATTTTTAAAAAACCGATTTATAGTTTTAAAAAACCAAATGGATTTACTTTATAAAAAACGGATTGATTAATCAATCCACTTTTATAAAATGGGTCGAATCGATTTGGTTTGGATTTTTCAAAAATCCGATCCATGAAAACTCCTAATAAATCTTGGGAATCATGATTTCTAGGAATGATGAAAATCTGTTTGGTTGGTCATAAATATTTCTGAGAATGTTTATAAATATTATTTGGGAACCAAATATTTTTACTACATTAAATAAAGGTAACATGATGCTTTTACTACATTAAAACTTTAATTTTATCTTGGGAAAGTTAGTTTTCCACCTTCTCATGAAAATAGTTTCGTGAGAAACCTATGCAAAAATATTCCTTGGAAAAATGTTTCCTAGGAATGTTATTTTTTAAATAACAAACCAAATGCAAGAAACTAACATTCCAATGTCAGATTCCCAGGAAAGTAAAAACTTTGTGTACCAAATGCCCCCGTTAAAGAAAGAGACCAAACAAGTAATTTTGCCTAAATTCAAGTATCTGCCAATTTTAAATCTTCATGGATTAAATAAAAAATGGGTTTGGGAGCATGCTAGTTTGAAATTTCCTGATTCACTTGAAGGCTTTGGACATTTAATTGGATTTATGGTTGGGGACCTAGTAATCATCATGACTGATTCTGGTATATTTGTGGTTTTCTTTCTAGATTGGCAGTTGTGGTTTTGGTTTGTGCTACAAGTTTTAATTTTTCTACATGTTTAGGATCTCAAACATCTTTAGTTGTGTGCTGCATTGTGGGGGTACTAAATATTCCTTGGAAATAGTTTAAATACTGAACTTTTTTTCAGGCTATTTTGGGCGGAACCATTCAGGTCCCAACTCTTACTGGAGATGTTGTTCTTAAGGTTTGTATAGCTATTGCAATTGCAATATAACTTCTCATGGCATTTTGGTTTTAGTATCCTATGAAGTATGCTGATGGGGCCTGTTTGGCAGGTTCGACCTGGCACCCAACCTGGTCAGAAGGTGGTTCTGAAAAAGAAAGGTAAGCTAGTTCATATTTGATATCAATTATGGATAATTTGAGAGTATTTTCCAGACAGCATTGTGAAAATATATTTGAATTTCCATGAACCTTTTGGATGGATTTTTGAAAGTGTTCAGTTTAAGGTAATATTTTCTCCTTTATTAACTTGATTGTTTTCTTAACAGGGATCAAGACAAAAAATTCTTACACATTTGGAGATCAATATGTTCATTTTAACGTTAGCATTCCAAAGTGAGTGTTGCATTTGATATTGTTGATTGTTGTTTATGAACTATGAAAGTGCATGATTGGATTTCCATTTGCAAAGAGCTCCAAACCTGGGTTTTTAGTAAAAGCTTGGCCTCATGTAACTTTTGTCCAAAACATGGTATGGAGGCTTCAAATGGGAATTAACCTCACTTGCTCACCTGACAAATAAAGATAGTGTGAGATCTGTTGTAAAAAAAAATGATAGTGTGGCTCTGTTATCATTGAAGTTTGGAGAAAGATACTTCCTTGATGAATGTTTAGAATATAAGTGGCCTCTTCTTTGTGTTATGTTCTGCAGCAACCTGACAGAGAGACAGCGGGAATTGATTGAAGAGTTTACAAAGGAAGAGCAAGATGATTTTGATGATAAACAGAGAGCTGCATCTGCTTCTGGTTGAAACATTGCAAGAGTTACCAATTCACGCTCAACTAGGCGGGTGTTGAAGTTTTGTAGGATTAAGGATTTGTAATTTTTTTTCTCTCTTCCACTTTTTGGAGTGTACTAATATTTCTCATCTTAAGTTATGATCATAATTCAAAATTTTAATGTTAGAAGGCATTCCCTCTATAGGCTAGTATTCTAATAGGTGCTGTGTATATATTAACATAAGGGTGCAAGTCACTAAATGTGATTCTTTTTCCTACTATCACATGTAAAGGAACCTTTATCGTTGGGCCATGGTAAACTAGAACATAATTTATGCGTTGTATCATCTTAAACATTAAGCAATATATAGTCATTTTTTGTCTCTGGATCAGTGTTATTCTCTTATCTTGCTAGTGATGATTAAAAAATGTGATTTCAGTTTTAAGGGGTCCAGAGGCAATTTATGCCATGTTATCGAATTTAATAATAGAATTGTTTTTCTTCCTTTCAATATGTACCTTTCTGTATAGGTTAGTGAATTTATTATTTTTATGATAATATTCTTGGACTAAATTACTTTGGTTTGGTGATTATTTTTAGTGAAATATAATGGCTTATATATTTAAAAGGGAAAAAAAATCAAATCTGACAATAAACCACAAAAAAGCTGTTTGGTCGAAGTTTTAATTCTGTTGTTTGTATTTCAAAGTATGCTGATAATCCAGAAGGTTTAAGACCTGCTTTATTTTTACCATATCTATTACTTATTGTTATTCACTCTTTATTCTTTTTCATCTATCAAACACAATTTAAGTAAATAGAATATAATCGAAGGATATAACTTTAGTCATTTTTAATAGCTAAAAGTATATTTAAATGTCTTTTTGGATCTGTTAAAAAAAACGATGTTGAACAACCTAAATATAATTATATTGCATTTTATTTAATAAAATGTGACAGGAGAACATAAATAGAAAGATAGACAGAATAAAAACATAATTTTTTGTTATTCAATAAATTATGTGATTTTTTTTTTCATGTATAAAGTATTTGAAAGACAAAACATTGTTTATTTTAGCAAGTATTTGGTTATTTTAACCTTTTCCAAAATTTTTTTTTCTTCTAACCATTCAAAGCATGCGCAAAAACTTGCGACAATAAATATGGAAATTTAGAATGGTGGTGCTTAACAGATTAAACTAATATAATCTAACACTTATATAAGACAACATTTAAATAAAAAAAAAATATAGATAATATAATATTAATAAAATAACTAAACTATAAATTGGTTAAATCGTATAAGTTAATATATAATTTTACCATCTCTTTTCTGCCAAATAATTTTGACCATATTTTATTTCTTCAACAATTAACTATTGTAACCCAGAAGGATCAGATGCTACAACATGGATTAAAACCTATTCCTACCTACATGACAATCCCATCTCTTATAACATTATTATAGGAAGTACTACATAAATTACTCCTATATAAAAACCCTTCAAGAAAATTATCATTCCACAGGTCCAACTTCACCTTATCACATGGTTTCACCTGCATAAAGAGATAAAGAAAATTAATTTTCTTTCACTTGCTAAACACAATTAATTACCAAAGGAGAAGGCGAAGCCACTTTATACATTCTTCCTCTTTTCCTTAATCAACATTGCTGTATAATATTAATTTTAATAAATAATAAAGTTACCAATGTATTATTTAATTAACTTGATTAATACAATTAAATAAAATTCATATGAGAGTCCTTAAATCATAGAAAGTCCCATTCTTATTTAATAGCAAAAGTGTATTGTGCACCCCAAAAAAATAACAGTTTTATTAATTAGTAATAAGTCCGTTAATTTGTTATAGCTTTCTTCTTTTAAATAAATTAATTTTTTAAATAATTACTCTTAAAAGGTTTTTCTTTAAAAAAAAAAAAGACAAATTAAGATCTAACAAAAGTTACACTCATGTATCAACCAAAGCAATAGAGCTTAATTCTGGAGTACAAATCTCTTATGTCACAAAAAAAAAATGAACAAAAAAAACTTTGTTTAGCTAATCAATTTGCGCATTATTTTAATTTTTTAAAATAATAAAAGTTAAAAAATCTAAAATTTGGTTAAAGTTATAAGATATTTTTTTTCTCATAAAAATTACCTTTTAAAAATGATTTTTATGATTGTATACAAGAAAAACGATAGTAATATTAAAAAATGATTTTTTTAAAAAAGAATTAATCACTAATTTTTTATTTTTTTTACATCAGAATTAGTCTAAGTTATTTCAAGTAAAACTAATAAATAGATGAAAAAGAAATAATGACTTTATAAATATAACCTTATAATTAATATTCATTCTTAGAAACGATCCAACACAACAATCACTTTTTACATAATACTATTAAGGGTATAAATTAAATGAAAAAGAAACAATCAATAATACATTAAAAAGTTAATATAACACTTATTTTAAAATAATTTTTTTATTCTAATATGACACTTATTATGAGTTGAAGGGAGTAATATTTTTGTCTAAATGATAATAATGAAAAAAACTCAATGATATTTTAGAATGAATTTTATGTGTGAATCAAAGAAGTCGTGAATGTGATTCACACAACAAAAGACTATTATATATGATTTGTTTGGATAAATTTTTCCAGAAATATTATTAGAAAAAATGAAATATTTTTTTTAAAATTAAAACTATATATATTCTCCGTATGCTAAAAGTAAATCTTTAGAAAAATAATACAATAAAACTTCTACAAATTAACTTATACAAAAATTAATTTTAATTTATGAAAAACTTATTTTATTTTTTTCTTCTATTTTTTCTCATACAAGTATACTTTTAAAGTAGTTTATCTATACACATTCAATCTTAACGTTTACAAGAATCTCCAAAAAAATTGTCCCTGTATTTCACGGATAATACTTCTTGCCAATGAAAAAATAAAAAACATTCACAAAAACCATTGAAATTCAAATATATGTATATATACATATAATAAGGAGATAGAGAGGGAGAGAGAGAGAGAGAGATGACATGGTTCAAAGTTTGCTGTGCACTTGTCTGGGAGCAATGAGGCCATGCTACGGTCTACCCCAGAGATTGGAGGACCATTGACAAGGACACAAAGACATGGTTGTCCTAGTGCCTTTAGGGCATTGCAACAAGCATCACTTGGTGGAATAGGGCTAAAAGGAGCCACTGCTGCCCTACAAGGAATGAGTTGCACAAGTGAAGAGAAGAATGTGCTTGTGCATGGACTGCTTTGCACTTGTGCCACTAATCCTGTTCCCATCATCAACATAAACCACAAACTACAAAACTTCATCTTTGAATAATTCTTTAACATTTCCACTTCCTAATTAATTATAAGGTGAAACTTCTTCTTTTGAGTGTGTGTGTGTTGCCAATGTCACTAGGGTTTTGGGTTTATTTATACATATATGATACATGCATGCTCATGTCATGCATGATACCTGTTCTAACTAAGGGTTGTGCTAACAATGCATGCTTACTGTGTTCTCAGTCTCAAGAGAGATCATCATCAATGTGCTGATCATGAATCACTACAGTTGGAAGATTCGAATGACGTGATTTTCTCCCATGAAAATTTGTAAAATTGCTTCTGCATATTTCATGACATTACTGAGATAAATATAATAACATGCCTATTAATTCTATATTTTAATTTAAAAATGCTAAAAATTCAAATGGGTAAATATTAAAATGATCTGGTAAAAAAAACTTAGTCCTATTAAAAATATTAATTAATAAGATATTTTAAGTAATTGATGTTATAAATAATTAAAAAATGTTGTAGAGAACAAAAGTTCAGGGTTAAAAACTGTACTATCAAATAAAAAAAATTAAATATGCATGTACGTTTTTCTTTTGAAAAAATGGATTATGAATGGTTACACTATAATCTAATCATAAATCATTTTATTTAAATTGTACAATAATTACTAATATTAATATATGCGATAATATAAAATTATTTTACATCGACTTTTATATATATATA